TTTTTTTTTTTTTTTTTTTTTTTTTTTTTTCCCGCTTCATGCCACATTATTAGTGCCATTGTTAGAGCTTCAAATTTAGAGCTATGAATCATTGCTCAATAGTATTAGGAGACTAATCAGTAAAATTCGGATTGTGATCTTCTCCATTCCATATTTATAATGGAGATGTTCCATTTCAACATCTAACGGTGAGTGTAATGATTTTTTTAAAATTTAAATTAATTATAAATTTGCATTCCTATTTCGTAGCCATTAGATATGTAATAGAAACCCTCCATTAAATATATAGAATGAAGAGGATTAAAGTAAAATTCTAACCCAAAAATTATCAATCAATCATTTCACTCACACATTATTAAATTTAAAAAATTGATATAAAAAGTGAGTTTGCATATATTGAGAATATTTTTCACCAACAATGATTCATCCCACTAAAAACATCACCACTAATAGCACTAATGCATTAAAAAAGTAAAAAAAAAAAAAAATACAACTCCAAGACCAAAACATCACATCATTAATGACGGGACCCACTGCCACCTAATTAGTGGGAGTACTAATTAGTGCTCCCAAGCATTTTTCAAATTAAAAAAATCTTGACCATATGATGAATTTAGGAATTAATCTTAGTTATTGATACAAGATGTAACTTTTAGACATCTTGATACATTTTCAAAAACAATCCTACTTTATTGTATATAGATTTTTATTTATTTATGTATTTTAATGCTATTCTTTATTAGTAATGCCAAGGATTCTAAAAATTTTACTAAATTTTCTATCAAATATCTCACATGAATGGTAGAAACTTTAGTGAAATTTTTGGAGTCTCTAGCATCTTTTATTCTTTATTTTACCAATATGTATACACAAATGTTTAAAGAACCGACTCTCCAAATGTAGCTAGTTTGAATTTTTTTTATTAAAATAGTTAGTATAGTAGCTAGCTAGTTGGAGATAATAAAATAAGACAAATTAGCTATAATAGCTACTAGATCTCTTTTAAAGAGCTCATTGGAGATGCTCTCCAATGAGAATATTTGAAAAAAATAAAAGATTGTGAAGAGTAAGAATGTAAGCCCACCTTGATTGAAATAAAGGCCCAAGCAAACTTAGTAAATGTAAAATAAGTAAAGGGCCGACCAGATCCATGGCATATCAGACAGAATCAGACCTGAATCAGACTGATCAATGACATAAAGATGACCACTCGATCGGGGTAAATCCAATGGACGAGGATGAGGACAAGTTGTCCACCGCCAAAAGACCTCTGACAGAAGAGTATCTGCCGAATCAATTAAGTGTTAGGATCCTTTAGAGTAATATCCCTAAAGTGATCTCCTACAGTGAAGAGAGTGAGAGAGACACATGTCCCACTCAACCTCCAAGGGCTGAGATTTAACCTCACCAAAACAACATCATTTTGGTGGGTAAATTGGAAAAAAAAAAAAACAAACAAAACAAAGTGAGAGAGAAACAAGAACAACAAAACTGAGATAAGCGAAATTTTGAATCAAGAAGCAATCAAACAAGTAATGAAAATGGATTTTGATCTGTGTGATCTAAATAAATAAAAAAGAAGCATAACACAAAAGATTGATTCTCAATCAACATAAGCAACACAAGCATTCTCTACAACACAATCAACACAATCAAAAGGTCGATTCTGTTTCTTCAAGTGCTCTTTCATTCTCTGCACAATCAACACAAGCATAACACAAACCTATATGAATGTGTATTTCTATATGTATATATGTATATTTACAGGCCCCGTAGTGCAAGCACCAAAGATTGATTCCCAAGAGAGTTCATGAATTCAAATTCGTATGGTGGGGGAAATTATAGAAAATAAAAGAAAAAGAAAAAGCATTATTAATATATTTGTGGCGAACCTATAAATACCTTCTCCTAACAGTTTCTTCTTACAAGAGTAACAAAAGCTCAGAAAAGTCAATGGAGGGATGTTGAGAAGGCAAACTCACTGGGTTTTTCCATTTCCAGAACCAAAATTCCTAGAACTCGAATCGATACTATGGGTCCATTTCCAGAACAAATCCTCAAAACCCTCTTGAAAACACCAAAAACCCTTCTCTGATGTTCCACAAAAAAAATATAAAAATATAAAAAAAATTCAATATTAACTCTTTTCGAAGAAGAAGAGGAGTGAGGTGAGGTGGGGTGGGGTGGGGTCGCTGGAAGGGAAGGAGAGTGCGCCGGAGATAAAGAAGAACTCAGGCGGAGATCAGCCAACGGATATTGAGAATCAGCAAAATCAAAATGAGCAACAGAATCAGCAGATCCGGTCAACAGACATGGAGATCGGCCATGCCAGCGATGGGAGAGGAGATCGGCCACCAAAGTTCACCGAAGCAGATCGGCCATGCCTCCTCCTCCTTGTCGAAGGAGATCGGCCATGCCTCCTCCTCTTCTCTCCTTCTCTCAGCCCTTCTCTCACTAACTCTCTTAGAAACGATGAAAAGAAACCCAGAACAAAGAAAATTTGAATTTTTTGTTTTGTTTTGTTTTGTTTTGTTTTTTCAATTTACCCACCAAAATGACGTCGTTTTGGTGAGGTTGACCTTTGGAAGATGAGTGGGACACGTGTCTCTCTCATTCTCTTCACTATAGGAGATCACACTAGGGATATTACTCTAAAGGATCCTAACGCGTCAATTAAGATCAAATATGAGGATGATCATTGTAATTTACCCCCAAAAAATAGGAAAAATTAGTATATAAAATATTTTTAAAAAAACCAAAGTTTAACTTTTAAACAAACTAAATCCTAAATTTTTATTTTCTCAATTTAAAGTCTAAATTTTTGATTATTTTCAATTTAAATCATTTGATTATTTTCGTTAAGTAAAAGTTATTACAAAAATAATATTTTAAACATTTTATATATAGTTTCATTAAATGTTGTTTTGGGAACCACTTAAAATAGTTAAAAAGTAAAAAATTATTACTAAAAAGTTAACTCTTTTTATTATTTTTTTGTATATATTTTCATAAAAAAAAAAAGAAGAGTGATGGAGACCCCCTCCAATCGCCATCCCCACACGCATGTGGCAAGTGGTGATTGGAGGACAAGAGAAACAAAAAAAAAAAAAAAATCTAACAAATGAGAGAGAGAGAGAGAGGGGTCAAAGGGGGTGAAAAAAAAAGAGATTTTAGACATTTTTGAAAAAAAAAATAAAAATAAACTAAAGTAGTTACTTTCTAAGGCCACTCTATGTTTAATAACTAAAATATTCGTTTTTTTTATCGATTTTGTTTAATAAAATAAGATTTTCTCCATTTATTTTGTTAGAAGGACTAAATTTTAAGATTTTTTTTATAAAAAATTTCTCACATAAAAAAGAAAAATAGCATTTAAAACTTTTAGCGAAATGACAACACAACCCTCCGTAACGTGACGTGGAGTTTGCTGATTGAACAAAAGCATCCACGGCATCGACTTCTGTGGTGGAAGTTGTAGGAACCGTACTTCATTTCGCCACATCGTTAACCATTTTACGGATGCGGATAACGCGCAAAATATCCCTCTCTCTCTCCTCAACTGCCTCGCTTCCCTCATCCTCTTTTCTCTCTCTCGCTCTCTCTCTCTCTACACTCATGAGAAGCTGAACTGAGAGCCCCGTCCTTCCCAAAACCCTGCAAATCCACCAAATTCCATGGCGAAAACCCTAATCTCAACCCCTTCCTTCACCGGCACGCCTTTCCCTTCCCTCTCTCGCCATGGCCTCCGCACCTTACCTCATCGCAGACTCATATCCACCAGAGTCAAGCTCAGCTTCCATGAGCTTCCTCCAATTCACTCCTTCGACTCTTCTTTTGATTTCAACGCAATTGTTAGCAGAGCGGAGAGCCTCCTTTACACGCTCGCCGATGCCTCCGTCGCCGTCGATTCTGCCTCCGGTGATGCCGCCGTTCAGAAGAACGGAGGCTGGTTCGGTTTTGTCTCTGACGCCATGGAAGTTGTCTTGAAGGTAACTAAAACTATACCAACTCTAACGATTTTATTATTGAGCTCTGTATATTTATATAAATGCACACAAATATATGCGGATGTGTGGTGGAAGTTCCATTCTGAGAAACTCGTTCTCGTTGTGATTGGCCTGGTGGTTTCTGTATATAATTACATGAACTGAATAGGATATAATTAAGCTGAAAGTACCTTAGTTACTAGAGATTTTTTTGGGGGTTAGTTGTCTGGTTCAATAGCTGAAATTGAGAGGCTGCACTTGTTTTTTCCAGTGGTGTCCATTCTGGTTATTTAACACTTAATGACCAAAATAAAACAATTTATAAAGAAAATCTTTGGAAAACACCCGGTTTGATTGAGGATAACTCAGCACATTCAGACTCAATTCAATCCTTATTCCTAATTACTTGCAGGCAATCATGGTTTCTCTGTGCCCAATATTCGTTTCTCAGCATGGTAGATTAGGCCCTGTTTGATTGTGGAATTAAGTGCTTAAAATTGAAGGCATTTAGTGGTTTCACAATTAAGTGTGTTTGATAATGCATAATAAGCACTTATCACTTTAATTTTAAAATTGATTGAAAATGTATCTTGATTTTAAGTCAAAGGGATTTGATTTATGATTAAATGCTCTGAATAGTGAGCTGAATACACTCCGTGAAGAGTATTTTCATTCTATTTCTCAACTAAAATAGTTGTGATGACAAGCAGGAAAAAAATAAAAAGAGAGACTATAGAATTTCACATGGAGTACATTGAGGGCATCTTGAAGTGAAGCTTTTGAATAATTTTGAGTGTTTGTGTTTATTTTAATTTAGCATGTTGCTGGGCGGATTTTATGTCGTTATATTAGGTTTTTTTATTTAAGTTATTTTGGTAATTTCAATAATTATTGGACATAGATAGTAGTCATTTTTCATGGGTCATAAATTGGATCAAGTCATAGTATTTGAATTGTATTTGGAGTCTTACGTCTTAGTCTAAAATATTCATAGTTACCAAATATTCTTAATTTTGTAAATTTGAGTCCTAGTCCTTATAGAAGCATGAGAGTCTATAAATTTTTATGTGAGAATTTGATGTTGTATTTGTGTGAATTTTTCTAGCCCTTGCAACGTGCAAGAGTAAAACATTCTTATTTTCTTTCGTCTTCTTTGCGCACACACCTAAGTTTTTATTCTTGGATTAATGTTCACAGTAGGGTGTTCATGGTTTGGTTTGACAATAAATTTAGAACCAACCCAATCATGATTGGTTCCAAGTTTTTGAACCCATAACCAAACCAATCATGTACTAGAATCAGGGTTGTAATCGGTTCAGTACGGTCAGTATTTAGGTAAAAAATTTCATCAAATCGATAATATTGATTTTATTATTTTGAAAACTGATACAGACCGTTTCTCCCATCAAACCTCATCAAACCGATTGAAACGGTTCGGTTTGATGCGGTTTAATCGGTGTAGAATCTTTCAAACTTGAGTCACTTTTAAATATAATCAATAATTTATATAAAAATATTAAATTAATTACTTGTACACCATTTCAAACGTATCTAATCTATCCATTTAATAAATATTTTTCAATTCCTAGATTAACAAAAATAAAAACAAAAAAAAAGGTTAAAAAATAGTAAGGTTTCAAAAATAATGAGTTAGAGTTAAGATTATATATAATAAGAGTTTACAAACTTAGGTTATAAAGATGATAAGGTTAATAATTTATTATAGTTATTAATATTATTATATTATTAGATTATATATATACAATATATGTTGAAGCGGTCAGTTTTGGTTTAGTTCGGTACACAAAGTGTTTGAACCGATACCGAATCGAAAATCGAAAAAAAAAATCAAATTTAAAAACCGCACAAATAGACTAAATATAGCTAGTTTGGTCCGGTTCAATCGATTTGTTTGGTTTTTTCGATTTTTCTTACATCCCTAACTAGAACCAACCCAACCCAACCCAACCCAACCCAATGTAGTTCGGCTTGGTTCAGTTTGGAATCATAGTTCCACTATATTAAAAATAAGTGAATCAATCAATAATAAATAATAAAAATAAACAACTCTTTAATATTTAAACATAAACACAAGCAAATAGAAAAATATTATTTAATGTAAGTCAATACAAACTCAAGCTTAAACATACTCAATACAAATTAAATCAATTGGGAAATCCAACTCAAGCTTCTAGTGCTTCCTTGGTTCACCAAATAATTTTTGTATGTGAGAAATTATTTGGTGTAATCAAGTCCATTGTAATGGATCAATTAGGTGAAAACATGTCAATATAAATAAAATTGAAAAAAAAAATATATATATATAGGTTTGGTTCTCAGGTTGGTTCGGTTTAGGCAAGATCTAAACCAAGAACTAATCTAATCCTATTGGTTTGATGATTTGAAAACACAGAATCAAACCAATGCACTCAAAATCCAACCCAAATAGGTCGGTTTGTTTCGGTTCTTCAGTTCACTGGGTAATTTGAACATCCTTAGTTCACAGCCATAGAACAGTAACTCAAGTCATATCCAATCTTTTCCCCTACCGTTTGGCCACCTAAAACACCATAGAGTAGACGCTACTTAGATAAATCCTACAATTAATTCCATAAATCTTGTAACCTGCCACTTTTAAAGTTGAAGCCCAAAGCCCAAACTAACCTTTTATATTTAGAAACCCTAGAAACTTTCTTCTACCTCATTAAACCCCAACCCTAGAAGTTCTTCATAATCAAAACCCGCCACAATACCTATTATAGGCAATTTTAACTTGTCTCCTAAAACTGTCTCGCATCAGTTTGTCATAAAATTTTCAAATTTGAAGATTCAGTACTTCAATGTTTCAACTCTAGAAATTAAGTGCTAAATTTTTTAGCAATACTTTCAATTCAATTTTGTCAAACAACCAAAATTTCTAGAGTTGATGTTATTGAGGAGCTATGTTTCACATTCCAGCAAATTGAAGCATTCATTAACCGTTGCACATGATAAGTTGTGAAAGCAGCAAAAAGATGTATGGCAATAACCCTGTTAATTCCCCAAGGACAAAAATTATTTATTTTCAAAATGAAAACAGGATAACTTGACAACCAAAGAAACAGGGGAAACGGAACAAATGAAGTACATTGAGGGAAGACATAATGTTTCCTTCTTTTCCTGTTTAAACAGTTTCCCTTTTGATGTGCATCTTCTTTTTCATCGTTTTTCCTATAATTCAATTATCATAATTTGAGCAAATTAACACAATAATGAGCTTATTAATATATTTTTAATCATCATATATTCAATTCTTATTTCTTTTAAAAAAAATCAAAAGAATAGTAGTTCTGCTAGAACGAGTTTGTTTCTTCGTAGTTGAATTTGACTTTTGTCAAGAAGATAGTAGGCCTTTCAAAGTAGTTAGTAAAATATTACTATTTACCGGAATTGGATCTGCAGTTATTAAATGGATCCACCATTAAAATTGAACAATCTCAGAACTTGTATGTAATCAAAGATGATCACAAAATAGGATTCACTGCCCAATGCAATGATAGGACATGATTTGAGGCTAGGAGATTACCCTGCAACTGATAGTTTCATGCCTATTCTAGTCATTGTTGAAAAGATCTAGGATGAATTCCCTTTTTTTCATTCAGCAGCCTGTTTGGTTCTTAAATGTGTTTTGCTTCATGCTTTCCTATTTATCATTGACACAATTACATGTGATATCATCCCATTTTTAGCTGGCCAAGAAAAACCAAATGCCACAGTCATGTTGGCACCAGAATTTTGTGGTTTTCGGGACTTTGTATACCTGCCCAAAGTTATGTAGTATACAAATATTAGAAACTCCCATCAGGCATAATGTTAATATGATTATATACTTTGCTCTGTTGTATCAGGTACTGAAGGATGGACTCACAGCAGTGCATGTACCTTATGCCTACGGATTTGCAATTATTTTGCTCACGGTTCTCGTTAAAATTGCAACTTATCCCCTGACAAAGAAACAGGTGATTTTTTCCTTCCCTGTGGTCTTAAGAAATCAAACATATCCAGTATTCACTTATTCACTCTTGAATTTGGAAAATATGGATCACTAATGTTTGCCACTTAATTTCTTCTACTGAAATGCTCTGAAAGTTTGTGCTATATTAGTATCTTCTTCTACTCTTCTCGATTTGTCATATTCTGTTGCCTATGTGAAGTTAACTGTTCATTCAGACAGTGTGGTACAATTTTCTGATAGCTTTTGTTGTTTATAAAGGTTGAATCAACACTGGCAATGCAAAACCTTCAACCAAAGATCAAAGCGATCCAAGAAAGATATAAGGGAAATCAGGTGTGATTGTACTGCTTCTTACTGTGTTGATCTGTTTATGTGTGACACTTCTACTGCTTCTTATCATGTTGTTCTGCTTTCGTGTATCACTTGGTCAAAAATGAAATTGCACATATGAAAGAAACTAACTATTTCAGGTGCTCCATCATAAAGCTAACTTAAATACATAACTCATTGAACATTATTTCTAAGTATACAATTCTAACGCAATAAGTACGCCCCTGAAACAATATTTCTTAATAAAAACAAATACAATATGGCTTGTTATGCATCTGTAACTCCATGTAGTTTATTCCAAACCTACAGATTTAGAAGCAATTGTATAGAACTATGCACACTAGCGAACTAATGCAAGGAAGGCACCAACTTTCAAGGGAATATTTAGAATCCAAGGATCAAGCTGGAATTGCTCTTATCATGTGATTCATCTTTCATAATTTTATTTATGATAACAAATCTGTTGAATTTTAAGTGTTTAGAAAATGATGGTCTCACTGAAACTCCGGCTCGTTTCTGCTGGAAGCACACTGTCTTTGCTGAACATTGCAAAGAACTCTTGAATTCTGGTATTATAGGTGGTCTCATGTCAGTTTGGTCTAAATTGAATAGTTTCATGTGCTTTGACCAAAAAGACATGAAATTTAGTTCCTTGGAGGACTAAAAAGCACATATGTACATGAAAGAGACAGGAAACCATTAAAATGTGGAAAATGTTGTGCACACAACCCTCTATGTTCCTAGCATTTCTCTTAAAATGTTTGAAAGATGCCTTAATGGATCTTCTAACCTGAGTATAGAAGAATAAAGAATGAATTGGCTTCTCCATGAATGAGGTACAGGCCATGTATATATAATAGATTCATGATACAATTTAGGAAATAATATAAATAAGGAAACAATACTAAATCAGTGATTGACACAACTACAGATTATATACATAATACTAAAAATAAAAAGATTCTATGTACTCTAATTTCTATATTCAACACTCCCCTTCAAGCTTGCGTGAAGATATTCAACAATCGCGGCTTGCCAATGGATGACTGGAAGAAGCCGAAAAAAATTCAACGGCTAATCCAAATAAATGTTACCGAACAAATTTGGTAGTCCACTAAATAAAAAAGGCCAAAAAAGTGCTTAATACATCAACACCACTAGAAAGGGAAAAAAAACAGGGACTGAAATGCCCTAGAAGAAACTGACCGGAATCAATGTCGGGATGATTTAAAGAGGTTATGTCAGACCGTTGTAGGATCTAACGGGAATCAATGTCGGTACAGTTTAAGGGGTCATGTCGAACCATTGTAGAGACTAACTGGATGTTAAACCAGCAAGTATGGCACACACATAACTTATGGCGTGGTGCAAACGATGATAGCAATAGATGACTGAGTGCATCAAGGGGTGGCTTATTAGAAAGTGCGCCGGGGGGGCGACTTAGGTGGTGCGCCAAGGGGGCGACTTGGGTGGTTCACATGGTATATCACTATGCTCACCATGATATAGGTATAATACCTCGAGTTGAGTTAGGTGATGAAACTCTCCCTAAACTCAAATAGGTTTGAAGACAGAAACCTATTTGAGGTTGAATTAGAGGAAAAAACAAAGTGGAACAGAAACACACAAAAAAATGGATTGCAAGTAAAAAAATAAAATATAATGGAGATATTTGGAATAGGAATAAATTAGTGGATAGAAGAAGAGATCACCACGAAATGATATTGAAAGAAAATATAGTAGTGGAATGAGTTGAGGCCTGACGGGTGGCCAAGGGAAGCTCGCCGCCCGCCGGTGAAGCAAAATTATTAGGTACTTAACTTAGCTCTGATACCAAAAAGAATGAAAAGAATTATTTGGCTAGTTAAGAGGGTGGCTAGGGTTTTTTAGACTTTGATACCAAGAAGAATAAAAGAATGAATTGGCTTCCCCATAAATGAGGTAGAGGCCATGTATATATAATAGATTCATGATATAATTTAGGAAACGATATAAATAAGGAAATAATATTAAATCAGCGATTGACACAATCACAGATTATATACATAATACTAAAAATAAAAAGATTATATGTACTCTAATTTCTATATTCAACAAGTATTCCATTAGCCATTTGAAGGATCATCTAGTGGAAAGTAAAGTGATTAGGAGGAAATGAACAATCATCAAGAATATGTCTTCGTGTTAACAAAGAATAGATATTCCTGTTGTTTGCTTTATATGATAATAATCATGCTTGTGCTTCTTTTGTCACTTTTGCTCTGTAGACATGAACTTGGTGCCTATTGAATATTGATATTTGTTTTGGTATTTTTATTTTTATTTTTAGGAGAGAATACAACTTGAGACATCACGGCTCTATAGGCAAGCGGGGGTTAATCCTTTGGCAGGTGCATCTTTAAGCTTTTAATCAACATTTCATTTTGTTTGCAATTAACTTTACTAGTCACTTTATTCTATGTGAATCGTGAATTATTACTTGACTACGATAGTTTACTTTCAGTACTTATGGTTGTGAAGTCTAAAATGCTGAAATTCTTCATCATTGGATTTTTCTTTTGCCTAAGGCACATTGCAAAGCAGTCCTTATGGCCGTGTTTCCTTTTAATTTTCATACTGCTTCTGGATAGGAAGGGGAACTTTTGTTCTCTATTAACTCCCTGTTCTTGTAATAAAATGTAGAAATTTGAGCTTATATTATGTGTAGATCAATAAAAAAATTAATTAGATATTTGTCGTTCTGCTTGCATCTAGATGCCTTGTGTGTTCTTTATGCAATTTGGGTAAATATCCTTATAGACAGCCAATTTAAGCAACTGTCCTATTCTAGATAGAAATATGACTGATAGGGATGTCAGTGATATGAAGAACTCTGTTCGAGTTCTGGATTTCTGGGATTGTAGACTTCCCAGCATGAACTCTGAAGGTGGATATCATGTACAACTACTATAGTGTGTGTTGGGAGGGGGATCATAATCATTCAAAAACAAGTATGCCTTTCTTTTTTACCCTTGATACTGTCAGATGATTGCTCTTAGGCAAAGAGTGTTATCACTTTTTTTAAGATCGACTGTACTATACTTCTTGTCCTTTTCATATTAGTATTAGCAGGGTTGCATCCTGACAAAATTTAGTAAATGTTGACACATTATGTGGGTGTTTGGGAAGTGGATTTTTTTGTATGTTTTTTAGTTGTAGGATATTATTGGAGAAAAAAAATTTTGTATTTGGGAAGATAGTTGGATTTTTTTGTGGTTGGATGTGATGTTTGTGAGAGAAAAAGTGAAACGATTATGGGGTTTGATGTGATATTTTGTTTGGATTTGTTTTTTTTGGTTTTGTAAAACATTTGTCTTGTAGTGAAAAAAAACAAAAAAAAACCCAAAAACCAAGTTCCCAAACACCCCCTATGTGAGACGACTCAAGTATTGGACAATGCCTAATATATGACCATATGCATGGCTGATAAATGAATTGGAGCTTGATTGAACCAGATGTGATAATAGTTTCATTATAATATAGCTTCTTGCAATGGTAAGATTACATTACGGCCAGTTGGATGTAAAGAAAATATTGAGTTAGGATTCTGTGACAATTGTTTTTTGCTTCGTTGGGGAAGTGTTGTACAAATCAAATGGGTAATTCTTGTTTTTTTGGCAATTCTGTGGCCTAATATCGTCATCCCACCATTCCAAATGCTTCCATGCCAAGAATGTTCACATGAAATACTTTTTATGAGATGTCCTTACATGATTATTGAAAATGCTTGCTTTCATTTTTTTTTTTCTTTTTCCTAGTAATTTTATATTTCTTTTTTTCCTTTTTGGCTCTGAATTTTCATCCATTTTAGTTCTTAATGTGCTTTGTTTTGTACTACGAAAATTCTTTAAACTAAAACGCTAGACTACATTTTTACGTGTGAGCTTCGGTTTGACAAAATTTAGAGTCTAGTAGTTCTTTCTTTACTCGAATTAGGGGCTGTTATAACTGATGCAACCATTCTGCCAAGGTACCAATGGAAGATAGGATTGTTGAAGTGGGTCGTGAGAGCTATTTACTTATGATTTATTTTCTCCTTTGTGTTGTTTCATGAAAGATGTCTCCATGATTGAATAAATGCTCAAGTCTGTCATTTGAGGTTATAATTATTTTTGGCTCGGGATAGAATAATTGTTGTAGGTTGTTACCTCCATTTCTTAAAATCTTCTTGGTCATCTGTTGTTTTTCATGCGTTGTGTGTCCTTTCTTGTGTGCCCTTATCAGTGGAGGACAATGGCCTCCACTGTCCCTTTCCCCACCGAAGCCCTCCTTATTCAAGGTTTTTCCATTTCAACTTTTCTCTCTTATCAATTTTGTCACATCTGCTTGGTGCTCACAAATTCATATGATTCCAATGCATGTCAATGCCTTGTTCAATTTTGTGATTAACAGGATGTTTGCCTACTTTGGCAACAATACCAGTCTGGATTGGTTTATACCAAGCTCTTTCAAATGTGGCAAATGAGGTAGTTAAGAACTTGTTATTTCTTTGGCTTGTGAGCAATGTTGATGGAAAATATTTTTGATATGCAGAATAAGTAGTTTATTGCTGATTTTTTACATCATCTTTACTCAAAGGGACTGCTGACAGAAGGTTTCTTTTGGATCCCCTCCTTGGGAGGCCCAACTACGATAGCTGCTCGGCAAAGTGGATCCGGAATTTCTTGGCTTATTCCGTTTGTGGTAATAACACTGTTATCAGAATCTGTGAATCTAATGATTGTGTTTGCTGCTTCTTTACCTATATTCAACATTATATTACTCTGACGTCACCCCTTATGTTGCCCTCCCTTTTCTATCATGAATGCTTTGTTCCAAAAGCCTGAAAGAAACCAACATAATTGTACTTTCATCCTTTCAAACATTCTGACATGAAGAAATCTTTGATGTCCGATGTCAAATGCATAAACTCATAGCATGTTTTGTTTTTCCCCAACTCTCATCCTATTCATTTTGCTGGTTGATGTGGTCGTAGAGTTGATTAAGTTTTGCCAACACACCTGGGATTGTAGACACCCAAAAAAAAAGCTCCATTTGTAGATAACATCATCTTCTTTTGTTCTGCTACCAAGAATATCTTGAGAAAACTCATTATTTAATTTGAGATGATTTTAGCCCTGTATATTGACCTAATTCCATCTTACATGTGAAGATGTAAAGAGACATATATGGAGAGTAGTAGAATGCAAATGGGAAACAAATAGAAACGAAGAGACTTGAACACAGGACCTCCCCAACTTGAGCTTTGATATCATGTTAATTCACCAATTGTCCCAAAAGCTTAAGATGTTAGGAACAACAATGTATATGAAACTATCAAATAGGAAAACTTGACACCCAAAAGAATTAATTGCTCAAGTTACGTGTTTTTTTTCATTCTTTGTATCAAATATAGCATTGGACACAGATTTTATCTATGGAGGATCCATAATCTTTCCTTCCGGAGCCTATGACATATATGTATTGAACTTAAAACACTTCTAAATTAGTATCTCGCATCTTTAATCATATTTTAACTTGAATTTTGAATCATACATCAGTATTGTAAACCTGCTTGCCATATGATTGTCTGCTGATTATTCACAATAACCACGTTTCTTCTAGAGTTTAATGCTTATCATGTGAATTTGTGTATGTTATCCATCTTGCAGGATGGCCATCCACCACTGGGTTGGCACGACACTGCAGCGTACCTTGTTTTGCCTGTCCTTCTTGTTCTTTCTCAGTATGTTTCAATGGAGCTCATGAAGCCTCCACAGGTAAAGAATGAGTCTCTCTTTGGACCATTTAATTTTCTGTTTTGTATGTGATTCTTGGAATTGTCCCCTGAAAATTTTGTCTTCTTTTGGCAGACTGATGATCCAGCTCAAAAGAACACACTTCTCATTTTCAAGTTTCTCCCTCTCATGATTGGTTACTTTTCCTTGTCTGTCCCATCAGGACTGTCAATTTACTGGTGAGTTTCAGCTAGCATTTTTTCTACCATTATCATCCACCATCTTATGTAACATTTGGTGTCCTTTTTGTATCTCTAACTGCCTTTGCACATGATAATCATAGAAAAGTTCGTGCATGTGGCCTGATCATACACACCAGGGTAGTATAATCAGTATTGACGGTTATATAGAGTTGCTTAAAACAGAGATACATATTTATTGAGTTATTGTTATAAAAAATAAGGTGCCACTATGTATAATATCAAGAAATGTAGCAAAACATGGAAATTTTCATTGATAACTTGAGGGAAAGTTTACAGAGAAGTACATCATAATTAAGGTCCAATTATTTCAATCAACATGCAAACATGATGTGTTGAGTATAAAGCATCAATTATAGGATTTTTAATTCAGTAACCATTTACTAGTTGCTATTGCAGTAAACATTTGGTTTACCACAAGTTTCAATAGATTGAAAAAAAATATGTCTGAACATTTAAATTAAACCTGTACATTTTTTGCAGCACCTATCTATAATCTATAATCTATAATGTGTTTAAAATTTGACACATTGGGCTAGATCTTCAAAGGTATAACCTTCTTTAAAGGAAGTGGGGTATCAAATATGTTTGTAACTTCTTGAAATTAGAGTTGGTTGATTTCCCCTAAGAAAACCATTCCAAATAGATTACACTGTTTTATTTAATTATGAATTGCATGGGTAGGTTCACGAACAATGTCCTTAGCACTGCACAACAAGTATGGTTACGCAAATTAGGCGGTGCAAAGCCTGTTGTAAGTGAGAATGCAAGTGGCATCATCAGTGCAGGACGTGCTAAACGATCGGGCTCTCAGCCAGCGCAGCCTGGTGATAGGTTGGTTTTGTGGATCAAAGTTTCTGTACTTAGTTCTTCAGTTGCTCCAAATGGTGCCTTGCTGACATAATTAACACAGGTTTAGGAAGTTAAAGGATGAAGAGAAGAAAAAATTGAGCAAGGCACTGCCTACAGACCAGGTTCAGACTCCGGCTTCTACAGATGCTTCTGAAGACGGTTCAGATAAAGAGACTAATGCCAAGGTAAATTCTAACGTGTGGTTTTTTTACCTCCATAGTTAGCCAAGTGTTATTTAAACTTGTAACCTCTGTCAATCAGATAACAAGAACTCGTCGTAGTTGTTCCACAAACATAAAACCTGTGTGCAATGGGCATGATTGGGGGACTGTGTTGCAACATTCTTTCTGTATGGGGAGTACAACTTTTTTTAGCACAATGTATCTTCAGTTTCGTGTAAAACGATAGTACTAGTTGCCTGTTTAGATTCAAAGGCAGACTTAAAAAGTAGTTTTATCATGGGAATGTGAGATTAGGAATGGAAGGTTCAGACTTCCTTTGTCTGCTTCCAGTCTAGATGTACTGGTTGACCTAGCTCCCTTGATGTAAACATGCATGCATCTCCTGAAGTTCTTTTGCTAAAATTTGATAGTGTGAAAGATGATAATAAGGCTTTATGTCTAGTCATCTTCACAAAAAAAGTCAGAATAATGATGCCTTATTCATTCCTTACAAGAAACTAGGAATAGAGATTAATATATGTGCATCAAGGTAGCATTAACTGAAAAGCTTTTAATCATTCTGAGGAATTTTGTTTCTTATACATGATAATGCCTGATTTTGTAGCAATTAATCAGTATACTTTCAATGTTAGGATGGATTTCTTGATTTTCATGACCAAAAAATTAAAAATAGGCATAATTAAAGTTGAAAGATATATTTAGACATATCTACATGAATTCAGGGACTTGGTATTTTACGTAATGGAAGGTAAAGTAGATCCCCAACTTTATAAACTCCACAAAAAGTGAAATCTAACAGAGTTTGCAATTTTTATTTATTAGTTGTAAATGCTTACTGCTTTTTAATCTGGGTTAGACATTAATTCAAATTTTTCTACAGGATGAAGAGGTTTTAGATGAGGTGTATGCTTCTAATGGAACCAAACCGGCTCCAGATTATTCTAGGCCAAAGAGGAGTAAGCGATCAAAGCGGAAGCGTGCGGTATGAAAATGTATACTTAATTGAGTGTAGTTTAAGTGAGTTCTGTATATGTAAACAAATCGTATCTTAGTCAATATATAGTGGCCATTTTTTTTCTTTACAGCTTATTCATTTAAGGTTTACTTACAAATGATGAAAATCATTCTTTTTTGTTTGATTGAAAAGACTTGCACATCCAGCATGATGTTTGAAACTGATATTTATGTCAAAAGTTTTTGAGTGCTCTTTAGGGAACCTTCTACACCATATTCTTTCAAAAATTAGAAATTGTTGAACCATAAATCCCATCAATGGATCAAAGCAGCAAAGCAGGCTGTTTTATATATGTAGAATGCTAGCTTTTGAATATTTTGATAATTTTATGCCCACCAATCTCAATATTTGAGGTTGTTGGCAGGGGTGTAGATTTGATACAGACCTAGCATTTGGCAACCTTGAGCTATGACAAAGGACAATTAAATAAAAGGAAGAAGTAGATTATATTAAAGGACATTGCAGCTAAGTCTGCAAGATGAACTTTCCCCGCCTCCCAAATCAGCTGCAACATATAAGCCTAGCTTATGCAGAACCGTTATACATGTTGACAAATCACCCGAATAATATTTGCTTTTCTAATGAGTTTATTGTTTGAATATAGTTTCGGAAGCTAGTTACTGAATTTTCCTTGGCTGCATTGAAAAAAATATTAGGAGCCAATATATGTTTTGTTTTAAATCATGTTACAAGCCATTTAAAAATGCTGTAGAGGTTTTCACCAACAAATGTGCTAATTTACTATTTAAAAAAGGTCATAGAGTTCAAAACGTCGAATATATTGCATCTTTATACAAACATAACACCCTAAACACAAGATGTTTCTAACTTACGCAAATATGTCTAACCTCCATAAACTCCAAAGAAATATTTTAATAATCTGTTCCACTCATTACGTGACACAATTGCATTCATTGATTCATGGCCTTGTTGGGGGACGATCATTTCCAACAGGGTTGGGTCCAGATGGTCTTTTATGATTCTTCTTCCCTTCAACCTGCTTGACATTATTCGTCTGTTCAATTAGATATTTGTTCATGTAGAAAATATTTTGCACTATATGAAACAGAAAGGGAGAGAATACTCTTTATACTTACCCAAGCGGTGAAAATTTGTCCATTGGTCTGCCTTGATCCGGGTTTTGCAGGTCTGAGCTTGAAATCAACTATACATGGATCGCAATTGCAAAGGTAAACTTCGTTAGCATTTATGCTTCTTTAAAGCAATTCATATATTACGTTTATATTTGTTTTCTTTCCTCTTATTTTGTTTTAAACTAAAAAGACGTTATAATGTACTTTGCAAATGAAAAGCATTAGATTCAATAATGAGTTGGAAGAGAAGGCAGGGGTGTCTTGCCTGATCGTGTAGCTTGAACCTTGGTATGGCATTGAAATGCAAATGCTGTAAGCAGAAGCCATAGTAAGAGAAGATGGATTAGAGTCTGTGCTCTCCTCATCTGGGGCTTGAGCTTGAGCTTTGGTTTCAATGTCAAAATGGGATATAGATATTGAGAGTCTTTGGTCATAGTGACTCAAAAAAGAGAAGTTGGAACATGTATATGTTAGGTAATGATGACTAAACTTGAAAAAACATGGAATGTTTGTTAATGGTGCTTGGGATCCTATGCCATTATATGGGGTGAAGTGATAAGATTGGGAAGCTGGGGGTTTGTCTTCATTGTGGGTTGACTTCTTTCTAGCTATCATTGCATCCATGATAAAATGCAAGAGACTCTTGCATTATTTTCTTCTGAGTGCTTGAACCATGGCTGTCGGCATGCCGATGTAGGGACCCGCCATTGCATATTGTGTTCTTTGAGTGTTTCTTTTCTCTCTCTCTCTCTCTGTCTCTCTCCAGCATATTGAGTTCTTGAGTAATTCTTCTCTCTCCAGTTCTTTGAGTTGTACATATGAAAACCCGGGTCCTTTCTGAGAATACAGAAACTAGGGTTGGTATCATTTTTGTTTTCCTATTTTTGTTTTTTTTTTTAATATTTTAAATTCTCCTAAAAAATGGGTTGTTTTCAGAATATATTGTTGAAAACTGTACAGTAATGGTCCTGTTTGTGTTTGGTTATGTATTCAATATTTTTTTTTAAACATGGAAAAGTTTGAAAGCACCCATTATTCATTGTTTTCATTTTTGTGAAAAAATAATTTTTGAAAATTGAAAAAACATTGTTTGTTAATACTTCTGCTTCTATTTTCTGCTTTCCTTTTTAGTTTTTTGAAAAATTGAAAACGAAAAGTTTTTTGATATTTTATTTTTGTTTTAGAAAAAATGAAATTGATTCCATAATTCTTAAAATTTTTGAAAACAAAAAAAAATGTTTTCAAAACAAGTTTTCACTCTTTTGTCTCAGCCAACCATCAGTCAAACACCAATGGCCATCCATTGAGCTTGGCCACTTTCTAGAGACTCTCCGGCCGGCTCCAGTGACCTTCCGGTCACCCTTACTGTCAATCACCACCTCTGAGGAACATATTTTTTTATTTTCAAAACATAAAACATTTATATACATCAAACAACTTTTTGTTTTTTGTTCTTCGTTTTTTTTAAACAAAAAATATGAAATTGACAAAGTTACTGAACAATTCCAAAAGTTTCTTATAAATTGTTTTAATTTCAGAAATTTTTTTCCCGAAAATAAAATCACTACAAATGTAGATCATTGAATTTATTTTCGCTTCTACTTTTGTCGCATCACCAAGATCTGGTCGGGGAAACGGGATGATAAATTACATTCTTAGATTATATATATAATTTTTAAATTCCCCTCTAGATGTCAAATGGACCATTATGATCATTCACATGATGTCTATAATTTTTTGACATGATGTTCTAATATTATTTACCAAAAGTGTCTTCCAGTTCACTTTTTTAACTTTATTATTTTGCAATAATGGTTTATTTCTCACTTTAGTTTACACACAAAAGCATTTACGACTTTTTTTCATCATTGCATTACCACTCAGGCCTGTTTTAACACTAATGGGATGATGATTTAATATACATCAATTTGGAATTTTTACGAACCATTGATTACAACAGCACTTGATGTCATCATGCTCCTGTGGTTGATATGTCTCCTTTCATTTGGTAACTGAAAACCACTTCTTTTGGGTTATGGTAGACATTTTTATCATAAACAAGTTAGAGTTTTTGTGTCGGTATGAATTATCGTAATTATATTATGAATATTGAAATATTACAAATTATTATAGTGATTAAAGTTATGAATCATTGTGATTTTATTATATATCATAATTAAGAAAGAATATACAATTTGTACCCTTTTAGTTACAAATTAGTGTTTGTTGTGCTGGTACAAGCCTTGTTAATTGTAAGTGGTTAGTAGTTCTGCTCCATTTTAAGAGCATCTCTAATGAAAATATTAAAATTGTGTGACCACGTTTATTTACACATATATAGAGGGTTGAGGTAAAAATATATATATATATATATATTTAAAATAATTGACTGATAATTAGAGAAAACATAAGAGAAATAATTACTTTAGATATTTTAACAAATTCTAAATCATTAAAAAAATAAATTTAATTTTTAGGCTTAACTAGCATTATTCTTTAGTAATGTACAATCTTTGTGCTAATATACATAACTTCACCATGCAAAATGTACATTTCCATTTGATGATTATCTTTTGACTTTTTCCAGAGTCTTTAATAGTACACTATCCTATTTATCAAAAAATAAAAACAGTATACTACGGTAAATTGATTTTTTTTTTTTTTTTTCCACCGAATTATTGCAAAATAATATAAAAAAATGTGTTAGATAGGCAGCGTTGATGGTGATGGCAGATTTGAGGCAGATCTTGCTTGGTTAATGCAGATTTTTCTTTTTTAAATAACATCTGTGAGAAAATTGATAATTTTTTCTAAATCATTGTATTTTTTGCAACTTTGTATTTTGTAGTTGTTGTTTAGGTTGTTTGCTTGGCTCTTTGGGATCTTGTTGTTTTTCCTTTTCTCGATTTGTATGATATTTATTTTTATTTTAATATAATTGCTTTATGTGTTCTCAAAAATTATTTAAAAAAAAATTAAGCTATAATTTAATACCACATAAAGTATAATTAAAGATCTTTTAGATCATAAGTAAAATAATATCATAACTAATATCACAATGAATCATGACAAACAAACACTATAATGTGTAAGATTAAGTTATAACTAATACTATAATAGATCATAACAAAATACCACGACCCTCAAAATTGAGAGTATATATATATATCATAGAATTTCCCAAGGTCAGAAATGAGATTGCATGGTAAACCATCGAACTCTTTGCTAAAAAAGTCAAATTTACGCATCATAGCCACTTAATTCAGTAGAAGCGTGATTTGCAATTTGCATGCCTTGCTTTCCAATTCATATCAATAAATCATTCACCTGAGTTAAGTATCCTTCGGTGCAGTTGTGGGTATTTTTTATTTTTATTTTTATTTTTTTAATTAGAGTCGGGCCACATGCTATGTAAAAAAGTTAGATTATTATAACAAGGAAAATGTTTTATACTGTATTTGGTTAAGAGATTTGAGAAGAGATTTAGAAAGAAAAATAAAAAGGTAGGTGAAATGTAAATAAAATATACTTACATTTCACTTAATTTCACACACGTTTTCTCCTTCTATTTCTAATCCCTCTTCAAATCTCCCAACCAAACTCAGTATTAAAACTCTAAATGAGTTCTAATTCGTCTTTTTTCCTACTATGATTTTTTAAAATTTTTTTTTTTTACACTGCCAACTGTATAGAGCTCCATTTAGAGCTCTCTATCACTACCGTTATAACAATTATGGTGGTGTTATATGCACCAATTAGTATACTAACTAGTGTACTAACACTAGTTATGATATTATTATTGACCACACTTATTAATCACATTACAAATTTCAAAAACCTCTTAAATTGTGCCACATCATCAATTGGCATACTAGTTGGTAGGCCAATTGATACATATAACATTATTCCTTGTTTATCATAACTTAAAAAAGTCAAAAAGTCAAAAATTCACTATCATATTTAAGTCACATCATCTTATTTAAGTCACATTATTTCTCAATCACACCACTTCAACCTCAATCTATACCCAACCCATATTTCATAAAAAGTCAAAAAGTGTACTAATTTAGATCATCCCAAACCTTTTGAACCAATTAGATCTAAAAATAATAATTTAAGTATAAGAAAAATACAAAACTTCAAATGAAAAGCAAACTTATTTTTGTAAAAAGCTAGCTTTTTGGCTTTTTTAACTTATTTTTTCTTCTGTGAATAAGTTATGTGAGAGGTGATGTGACCCAAAATAAGTAAAAAGCTGGAAGTTGTCTTTTTACCAGCTTCCCAAAAGACTAAGTCTCCATTTGGGAAGTGGGTTGGCTTTGCCTCCGTTTGGGAAGTGGGTTGGCTTTTTGGCTTTTTGGCTTTTTTAGCCTGGGCTATTTTAGCCTGGTTTGGGAAGGGCTTTTTGGCTTTTTGACTTTTTTGGCTTTTTTTGTGAGAGAGGATTGTAATGATTATGGGTTGGATTTGATGTTTTGTTTTTTGTGACTAAAATAGCCTATTTTGTTTTTTGTGGCTATTTTAGCCAAAAAAGCCTGGGCTTTTTCTTGCCAAACGGAGGCTTTTTGAGTTTTTTGACTATTTTAGCCTGGGCTAAAAAACTTGGTTTGGGAAAGACTTTTTGGCTTTTTGACTTTTTTGATGAGGAAAAAGTGTAATGATTATGGGTTGGATGTGATGTTTTGTGTGATGTGGCTAAAATAACCTATTTTGTCTTTTGTGGCTAAAATAGTCCCAAATCTCCTTGTCAAACTATAATAAAAAAAATTTAAAATCATAAGTAAAATAATATCATAATTAATATTCTAATGAATCATAATAAATAAACACCACAATATGTAAGACTATCACAATTAACATCATAATATATCATAACGAAATACACAAACGTCAAAATTGAGAGTTATATATCATAGAATTTCCCAAGGTCAGAAGTGAGTTTGCATGGTAAACCATCAAACTCTTTTGCTAAAAAAAGTCAAATTTATGCATGATAGCCACTTAACTCAGTAGAAGCGTGATTTGCAATTTGCATGCCTTGCTTCCCAATTCATATCAACAAATCATTTACCTGAGTTAAGTATCCTTTTGTGGTGCTGTAGGTTTTTTTTATTTTACTTTTTTATTAGAGTTGTGGGCACATGCTATGTAAAACAGTTAGATAATTATAACAATTATTAAGTCTGAAGCAATTAGATCTAAAAAGAATAATTTAAGTATAAGAAAAAAACAAAACTTCAAACGCTTATACTTTATAGGTATATATTTTAGCTTTTGACTTCAGTTTTGTAGTTTATTGCTAACAAACAAATTTGACTTCTGGCTTCTGACTTCTAGCTTATGGCTTTTTCACAGATATTCCAAACAGCCCCTAGGTTTGTACACTCATTTAGGTTGTGTTTAACAAGGCAGTCAGTTTAGTTTTTACAAATAAGATAGATGTTTAGTTTTGACAAATAGGAAAGATGTTTGGTACACAA